TCCCTTTAGTTGTCACAGAACAACTAACTATATGACTCAAAGTGAGGTGATGGAAATGAAGACCATTCCAGAACTTTAGTTTTGATGGGAACACCTGTGGAGTCTGGAAAATAGACTAATTTCTGACTTTACTGGAGAAATTCTGATTAGGCAGACCTAGGGTGAGGTTCAGGAGTCTGCATTTTTAACAAAAGATTCTGATCCCCATGTGAGTCTTATCAGGTTGTCCAAAGACCATACCTCAAGAGACACCTGATAGGCTAAATTGTAGAGGATTATGACATTTTCCTAAAGATATGTGTCATATTTAGGATCTGGAATGCACCCAAAGTCTCATGGGTTGAAGGCATTGACCCTTGATTATGGCATTATTGAGATAATCCCATCAATAGTGGAAACTTTAGATGACCCAAAATGATCAAACCAAAATGACAGTGGACTGAAACCTCTGAAACCATGAGCCAAAATGCATCTTTCCTCCATTAGGTTGATTTTCTCGGGCATTTTGTCACATCAACAGAAAGCTAACACAGTATAGGCAGACCCATTTGATTTCAGGTTCAGGCTGACATGTTAGATTGTGTCTTGAACATGTCTAATTAATTGAAGAGGCTGGTTTTTCCCTCACACGTCCACCCCCCAACTCCCAATGCCCCAGCCAAAGCCCCACAGATTGTCAGTTCAACCATGAAAATGAAGTATGTGGAGAATTCAGGTATGAAGCCCACTCTCAGAAAAACAGTTTTGGGGAATATGCCAAGGAATCCATAGGAACCACCCATCAGATAGTTCTGCTCCTGGAAATTGATCAACTTGAGCACATTTTAATTTGCCTTCTGGTTTCACTGATTTGTATATGTTTTGATAACATAAAAACAATGCTTAATCTCCAAAGGGGAAGCACAAGGTTATGCTGAGAAAAACAATCAAACATGCTAGCAAGAATATTTAAAACTTTTGCCAATAAAGATGAACATCCTTTCTGAATTTATTTTACTCAAAAAGACTTTCTAAATTTTTGGAACAGGAAGGATACAGTTGGGTAAACTTTAGAGAAGTTGAAAGTGTTGGCATGGAATCAAGCTGGGAAAAGTGCCTGCTTGCTTTGCGGGGTGTGTGTGTGGCACTAGAACTGGGGTCTCAGTCTCATGATGATGACTCCATGGCCTGGAATACAGAATGGCTCAACAGGAAGCCCATGTGAGCAAGACTTTGTTTTCCAGGGGTCCTCTGGGCCTCAAGCATTTGTCTTTATGCCACGTGCCAATCCCAGGAGCCGCCAAGGTATATAAGTGGTTCTATACTGTTCAGAAGTTTTCCCACATGGTCTGGAACCCTTGACTCAGTACACAGCCTTGATTTGGAGTCTGCAGACCTGTGTTTGCATTCCTGCCTGACCCACTTATCCGATTTTTGTTCCACTTGCAAGGTATGTTGCCTTGGGGAACCTTTGTTGCCTGTTTTATAAAACAAATCATGAATAACCTGCAGAAATCACAAGGCAGGAGTACAAGCTCAAAGAAAATGTTGCAGGCACCTAAACTTTATAAATATTATATAATTTATACATGACATGATTAGATAATGGCTAATAAAGATGACAATATCATTATTAAGACACTATTGAGGGGTTGGTTGTAGCTCAAGTGGCAGAGCGCTTGCCTGACAAATGTGAGGCACTGAGTTCAATCCTTAGCACCACGTAAAAATAAAATAAAGATATTGTGTCTACCTAAAACTAAAAAAAAAAAAATAAATAAAATTTTTAAAAAAGACATGATTGAGAGAAAGTCTAAGACAGTATTAATTTGTTCTTTTCTTTTTGGTAAATCGAGACTAGAGATAAAAGGTTCTCTTTGAAGGGGCAGACCCAAAACAGGTCATTACAATCCCAAAAAAGGAACAGCCATGAGAGGTCTGCATATACTTTTAGGGGAGGCAGAGTGGTCTGTGGTATCTGCCGGGGTGCAAGGATGTGGGTGTTCCCTAGGTAGGCTGTCACTAAGAGGTGTCCCTCAGATGCCACCACTCTGTAGAGGCAGACAATGGCGTCTGCTGTTACCTCTTTGGGGAGTGTGCAGAACTGATATGTTATGGAAACACTAATCGTAGGAAGAATCAACATCACTGGGCAGAAAATATGCCAGCACATCCATGGCTTTTGATCTCTTTAAAGAATACATGATGTCCAAAGCAACCAGGTAAAAGAGAGGTGGCATCATTTATAAAATGCAGCATATCCTAAAGTGGACCTACCATATAAGCAATTTTGATAAAAGTGAAGAATGTCACTTATGAGCAAAACTATAGAAGCAGGGTGAAATCATAGAGCTCAGTGACAACATTTCCTAACATATTAGACAGCATATGCCTCTGGGGGTATTTGTGTTTATATATTGATATAAATAGCAGCTGCTTGCAATTAGATCTGACAAAGGTGGGATGTGGTGGTGTGTGGAGGTGTTGATAGGGTGTTGCATGTGGGCCAGCCTGCACCTGTGAAGGCGGGGCCCCAGAAAGCCATAGCAACCCTGAGTTCCTTTACATTATTAGATTCAAAAGATTAAGAATGGATATTTTTAGTTTCCTTCTTTTTAAATTTTATTTTATTTTTTATAAATTAATGATGTAAAAGTAATTTAAATAGAAAAAAAACCAACCCAACCCTCTCTTTTTCCCCAATATTTATGTTAACTGTCAATACCATTGTATCACTATATTGTTAATATTTAATTTAATGACCTTCACTGGTTATAAACCATCATTTAAGATGGTGATACAATATTTGAAGATCTCTGTTCTCTCTCCTAAGTTTCTTCTCACTTCTCCTCAGGGAGGAGATCTGATTTGGCCACATGGGCCAGGGGGTTTATCACTGTCCATTAAAGCTTCCCCCTGTCTTGCTCCTCCTGGTAGGTCACCAGCCACCTTGTCTCATTTGCCACTTACACTATACCTTTTCTTACCTTCTATGCTCTCCTAGGGCCACCAGGTGCCACAGGGTCCTGAGATTCAGCCCAGCCCATGGTGGTGGTGGTGGTGGTGGTGGTTGTGATGGTGAGGAGAGGTGGGGCAGGGATATAATAAGGAAGTCTTTGAGGTCCCTAGGTCACAATTGGTACTCCAGGTTCACCATGGTTCCAAGAATGAAAACAGGGCCTCAGACCCCATCTGCATTTACGTCTCTCCTTTTGTGTTTACCTGGGGAGAGCAGTGTGACTGGGGTCCATCTGAGTCAGAATCCCAATATTCTGTTCATTATATTATTATAATACCATCAAAACTGCTTTGTTTCCTAACATTAGGCCCTAAAGATAGTATTACTATTGGCTTAGGTGCCCTGATTGTTGGATGATGGTTCCTAGTTCTCACCATTGTGGAGCAGCACTCTGATGGTTACCTTTTTTGCCTCACCCCTCTCCATTACACTATAGAAAGTGGAATTACTGCATTCACGAAGTTGAGCAGTTTTATATCTCTCAATGTATGGCACCAAATCACCATGCAAAATGAGAGTGCTGATATATCCCAGCATTAATAGAAAAGCTAAGTTTTACTGACCTCAACCCCACTTTGTTAAAATATGCAGGGAAAATAAAATTCAGAATTATTGGTCTCTTATTTTTAATAACTTTTATTTACTTCAATAAAGGAGGAGGAATAGTTTAACTTCTTTTTTAGAAAAGCTATTCCTTCATAATTTTTCTTTTGATTTTTTTTTTCTAGAGATTATTTGCATAGCCATAAAGAAAAGGAAAATCCTTATTCTTTGAGGGTGTATTGTTTCAAAATGATAAAGATATTTGGAGTCACATATGGCATATAAAATAATGGGTTATGTTGGGTAAACAATGTTTGAAACTCTAAATTAGATATTATAAAGTAATGACTCTGTATGTGTGTATGACTTAGAAACTATCTTTGAAGGCAGTTCCAAAAACATATTCAAGATATGTTTTGAGTAACTATTGGATATAGCTGCATTAAACTTATTCATGCATTTTTCATTTTGTACTTTCTTGTGGGGTCAGTCTCACCATTTTTCTCTAGTGGCATACATTGCCAGGGGGAATTTTAGAATTATTATATCAAGGACTCAGGAAGAGAGGCACTAGCTTTTGAATTCCAAAATTGGTGATTGAAGTCCACTGTGAGACTTCATTGGGAGAGAAAAAGAAATGTCTAATTTCCTGTTCCCTATATCCTCTCCTAATATATTCAGAACAATCTTGCAGGTCGGAGCATATTTTTAGCCCTGTCTCAGTTGGAAGAAGACAAAGAGAGGAAGAATAGAACAAAGCCATGTTGTGATGGTTCTATCCGCATTCCAGGGATGAGATGGGCAAGCCAGATGCAAGCACCTTAAAGACATAGATGCAGAGGTCTCAGGAACACTGACAGTTTCCTGAAGAACTCCAGATCCAACAACAGCACTTGAACCATGTGGTGACAGATACGTCTAGATAGCGGTAGGGAGATGTCCAGCTCATGGACCTGTGATAGTCCTTGGTCATCTATCTTTTGTCTATGTCTTATGCTATGATGTGAAGGTGTCATGGTCTTCAGGGAACAGGTAGAGGCTTGGAGTCTGGACAAAGAGGCTTAAGAGGGGTACCTACGATTGGAGACAAATGCAATAGACTTTGGAATAGAGTAACATCCAAGTATTCCCAGGAGATGACGATGGTACATTTTGGGCACAAACACAAAGCTCAAACTAGAGTAGCTGCTCACATGTGTAAGACTGGTCCCAGGGAAAAGTGCAGGACTCCTCACTGCCACCATGAAGTTATATGTTCCTCTGGTGAACAGACACCATCAGGTGAGCTTCCTAACATTTTAGCTGTGTGTTTTTAGATACTAAGGATGCTAATAAGGTTGAAGTAAGAAAATGTTTTCTCAAATGGAATTCTTTATCATTTAATTCATCTTGATTTTTGTGTATCATCCATAATGTGGGCTGGTCATACAGGGCGTGTGCATGTGTCTGCTTTACTCACCTGGTTCTCTTTCAGTGTTATCTGCCCCTGCTCCTTACACCCAATGAAGGTTCTAACACATCTAAAAATCTTCTCGTTTTGTTGTACTCTCTGAACAAAGTTGGCTGGAAAGAAGCCGATCCTGTCTTGAATTTTCCCCTGGAAGGAAAAAAAGGAGACATTCATTTCCATTTGTGACATTTATCGTAATTATAATTACCAAATGATTTTTTTTCCTTTTAAAGAAAGAGAAATACTTGCTTTCCACCAGTCTTCATTGGAATCTTCTAGAAGAGTAATTATGTCTCCTGGCCTAAAATGGAGAATGAATGAGTTGGATGGGGAAATAGGAGCAGGAAAAACATGAAAAACAAAAGACATATATGATATTTTGAAATCAGTAGTTTTTTTCATTAATGCAAACAATCCCACTATAAGTAGAAATAAAATAAACATGACTTTTACCAATTCTTCCTACCCAAGATCGAAAGCAAACATACTTTCTACACTGTATGTAAAAAAATAATCCTTATTTTCATTTTGACACATAGATGATCATATTTTCATTAAAAAACTCCAAAATTTAGAAGTCAAGAAGTTTCAAGGTGCAATTCCCCCTCTGTCCCACAATTCTCCTCCCATCCTACACACTTAGATGATATATAGCTAACTATATGTATTTTTTAAAAAATTATTCTTGTTAGAATATATGTCAGTAGATTGTATTTTAACATGTTATACATACACGGAATATAACTTATTCTAATTAGGATCCCCCCTTTTTTTTTTTCACTTTGGTGCTGGGGATTGAATCCAGGGTCTTGTGCATGTGAGGCATGCACTCTACCAACTGAGCTATATCCCCAGCCCCAGGGTTCCATTTTGTAGTTGTACATGATGTGGAGTTACACTGGTCATGTATTTACATATGATCATAGGAAAGTTATGTCCAATTCATTCTACTGTCTTTCCTATTCCTATCCTCCCTCCCCTCTCTTCCTTCCCCTTTGTCTGATCCAATGAACTTCTATTCTCTCTGTACCCTCTATTGTGTGTTAGCATCCATATATCAGAGAAAACATTCAGCCTTTGTTATTTTGGGTATTTTTTTGCTTAGCGGTAACATCTATAATTAATTGGTCATTCTCTTTATGATCATCTATCTCTTTGTGATCTCTTTATTATCTCCTTGTGATTGCTTTTATTTATCTCTTTATGATCATCTATAAAGTCTCAATAACTTCTTGAAATCTAGCACACTTCTGCTTAGTTCTACTTTCCCTCTTTGCCACTTTGATATTGAGGTAATTGGGAGTCTTGTTCTAGACTTGTGTGTGTTTACGTCATTCATCAAGAATGACTTGGGTTTAGCTGAAGACTGAGTGTTTGTGCTGGTTTTGGCGTTGTAGGTGTGGATGTTGTTTGCTATTTCTTGCCTCCCTCCCTGCCCCCAGCCCCAATCCAGGTGTGGGGACGGTAAAGGAGAGAGAATGTGTGCTTTGACTCCTTTCTCTCAGTACTTGCTGGAGCCTTTGCAATCCCAAGACTTACTTTTCCCCTTTGGAAACTTTGTAAACTTTTCTCTGCTGTATCTTTCACTGTTTTCTCTCATCTTTCCTTCTGGAACTTCTAGTCAACACATGTTTGACCTCTGGGATCCCTCTCCATACCTTTTATTTTTCTCACATATTTCTCATTTGTTTTTTCTCCCTCTGTATTAAATTTTTTCCTTATTTTTATCTTCCTCATCATTTATTTTGTGTCTGGGATCCTCTATTTTTTTTTATCTGAATACTAAGAATTTTTGAACAAAAAAAGCTAGCAAGTATTTTTCAAGTGTGTTTAGAAAAAAAACCCCTAATATTCAAGGGTTCTTAGTTGCTGAAATTTCTTTCTTTCTTTTTTTGTTTGTATTGGAGATTGAAAGATCAAACCTAGGCAGTCTATTCACTGAGATAAACCCCCATCCCTCCCCTTTCTGTTTTTCTTTTGCACTATGATTTCACTAAATTGCTGAGGCTGTCTTTATTATTTTCTGAAAAAATATCTGACAGTCGCTTTCTATGATGAATGCAATGTTATAATGGATCTTTTGGGGAGTATTCTATTTTTAAAGTCACTATTTCTTTCCTTCGTTGAAGTTTTTCCTGTAGGATCAGTTGCCCTGACCTTTATCTTATCAATTCTCCTTCATGTCAAAGGATCTTCTTGAACATCTGGCATTTCTTGGTTGTCTCTTTATATTAACGACTGAGATGGAGGCAGGTGGATATGGCCAGCTGGGTGGGCTTCTCTGCTATTACATCCATCTGGTCTGTGCTGGGTCTCTCTCCCAAGCATGAGGGCTGTCTACAGGTTCTGCTGAAGGGAGTGGGGTGTGCCAAGCAATGCATCTCATTTCTGTAAACTTGAAAATATAGTGTTAAGCAGTTTGGGGTCTCCTCTGCTAGCTCAGTGGGGAAATGAGGACGTCTTTCCTAACCCTGGTGAGAAAGGTCAGCTTGTTTATTTTCCTCCTAAGTAGAGCTGTCTTTCCTTTTCCTCTGCCCTTTAGAAGGTCTGGAGAGTTATTTCAATATAATTCTTCTTTCTCAGGCATTGGGGCTCACGTGGGAGCTCTCCTTAAGCATGGGTTCCCTTTCTTTCGAATATAGATATTGGTTTAGATCTGGAGTCTAAACCATTGCTGCCAATTGCTCATTATAAGCAGTAATGTGGTGGTATGAAAGGTTGGGGCTCTATCAGTTAAATACTGCTTCAATAATGCTCTGTAGCAGTCACAAATCCTAATGGCCCACTCATAGACTCATGAGTCTTGGTGCTGGCTGGCTGTTGGCTGGGTGACTTTGCCCTGTTCCACTGTTTCTCAGACCCCAGGGAACAGTGAACATTCATGGCAATGGCAGAGACTCAGGAGCAGCAATTGGAAACGTGCAAACACATGGGCCTCTAAGACTTTGGCTTAAAAGAGACACATTGTCCCTCTGCCTCATTTTACTGGCCAAAACAATTCACAAGGCCAGTCCAGACTCCAGGGATGGGGTAACAGGTTCCACCTCTGTGTGAAAGAAACTGCAGTCTCATGGCAGAGGGCAGGAATATAGGGAGAGGTGAAGAATTAGGAGCATGAATGCAATCAATCTGCTGCAGACTCCCCCCATGTTTCCCCCTGGATTTTCTCAGTGTCTATTCCAATGTGTTCCTATATCTCAAGCTTTTTTTCCCCCAGTGTTGTTTGGTTTCTGGACATCTTCACTGTTCTCACCCTAACTACAATTGCTGTAGTCTGCCAGGTGAGTCCCAAGATTCCTGGTTTTCCCTTGGCATTCTTTCTGTTTTCTAAGACTGTTAAGGAAGTATCCTTAAAAAAAAAAAAGATATTTTTGGACATTCTTAGGAAATGGAGCAAGAGAGAAAGCAGATTCGTGTGCTCATTTTGCCACTCTGATTCAATCTCCTCTGCTGTCATTTTCAATTCTCAGTTAATATCTATCTTGGTTGGGGATTCCGATATAACAGGCTTATAACACCTGAAGCATTAAACACAACTGGCATTTCAGTGTTCCGACAGTCACAGTTGTATGCCGAAGCTACAGAAAGCAAGGTGGCTGAAAAATCACTCTTTCCCAGGTGAGGGATTTAATTAAGCAGCAAGGTTGAAAATCAATGTGGAAAAATCTTCTAGGCTCCAGCAGATTTTATTTAACCCAGTAACCTAAGAAACTGTGTGTCAGTATCAAACATGATGACTTGGCTGCTGGTTTGGTAGCAATTGCAAATACATAATAAAGCTGAAGACTGGGGGAGGTACTGCTCCTGAGGGTGAAGGAAGAGACTGCTGAGCCTGTCCTTGGATTTTATAGTCTAGCTAGAGATTCTGTAATGGGCCCAGAAGTGAAGGGTCCAGAGTGCATGCCTCATGTTAACCATACGTTAGACTATGGCACTTACTGGAATAGAGGCTTTAAGTTTATAGAAATACCAGACATACTCCTGACAGTGTGAGATGGATTCTTGTTCTATAAAAAGCTCCACCAGTGTCAGAAAATTGCTTGGTGAGTGAGTATAGTTAAATGTACTCTTTTTTTTTTTTTTTTTTGAAGGGAGGGTTACTAGGGATTGAACTCAGGAGTACTCAGCCATTGAGCCACATCCCCAGCCCTATTTTGTATTTTATTTGGAGACAAGGTCTCACAGCTTAGGGCCTGGCTTTTGCTGAGGCTGCCTTTGAACTCAGGATCCTCTCAGCCTTCTGAGCTGCTGAGATTACAGGCATGTGCCATGGTGTCTGGCCGCAACCATAATTCTTCATTTTTATTTTTCTGTTTGTTTACCTGATCATCCAACAAATATTTACAGAATGCAGATTCTGAAAGAGCCATTTTTACTAGGTGGCAGGTGAACTATGGTGAATAAAATCCTCATTGGAATGAATATTATGGATACTAAGTAAGTAAATAGTTAACAAAACATTTAATAAATATATAACTAATAATAAATGCATACTGTATATGCATGATCAATGCATACACAATTGTAAGTTGTCCCAGGGGCTATGAAGGAAATAAATAGGAGATAGCCATAAAGAATAAAAGTGGCCACCTACTGAGATTAGTCCAATAGTCTAAGCCTCTGGAGGAGACAGTTAATATGGCTCTTCACTGCAGGGAGGATCTTTCTCTGGGGCAACAACTGCTTAACATCTGAATGAGCAGACCTGTGGCTGTGGGATTTGTATCCTCCCTGCCTATCCAGGTACCACCTAACAATCTCAGCATTCTTTCCCACTGGCTGCACTCAGAATCCTTTCCACTCTGTAATACTTTTTTTTTTTTTTTTAATGTGTTGATCAGTTTTGAAGTCCTACAGGCTGGTTCATTCCCTTCTTAAGCAGCTGATTAAGTCCATACTCTTAGTCACTTCTCTTCCCAAGGCTCTCCCACTCTGGATCATTGTGCACCAGCTTTACCCACCTACTCTGGGGTCGGACCAGACAATAAGGGAAAGGCCTATGCTTTTGAGTGTATAAATTACTCAAATTAGCCCCTCTATAGGGAGCCCAAGCAAACCCCATGGCTTTCCATGCATAAGCTGCCCCTGCAGCTCCTGCTGGTTGTTTCCCTGACTCCCAGGCACAAGCCCCATGTGGCTTTTCTTGGCAGCCCTTCCCTCCTAATCCTTTCTTAACTTAGTTCTCTTCTGCCACGGTGCCATTGTGCTGTGTTGTGCCATCAAAGAACTAAATTAAAACATTGTGCCAAGCAGCTTTTCATAGAGAGGTGAGCCTTGCCAGGGGTCCCTGGGGAGCAGAGG